TTCAGACTTACCTTCATCCCATAGACATGTCCTGCTACGAGCGGTGTCCTTCTACCTCCTGTGGGCCAACCCCACTGGCCAACAGCTGCAACGAGCCCTGTGTCAGGCAGTGCCAGGACTCGACAGTGGTGATCCAGCCCTCTCCCGTGGTGGTGACCCTGCCCGGACCCATCCTCAGCTCCTTCCCACAGAACACCACTGTGGGATCCTCAGCATCTGCAGCCGTTGGGAGCGTTCTCAGTGCCGAGGGAGTGCCTATCTCCTCTGGCAGCTCCTTGGGATTTGGGAGCTTTGGCTATCCAGGCCTGGGCAGTGGGTACAGCAGGCCCTACCGTCGCTACAACACCTACCGCAGCGGCTTCTTTGGGCCGTGCTAAGGCGTGAGGAGCAATCAGGAAGGAATGACCAGGAACGCTGAAGCATGATCCTATGCAGGACTGAGCTCATGGCCATGGCTTCCAGATGCTGTGTTAGATACTCACAACTCCACCTGAAGTTAGTGGAGCTGTGGGGATTAGCTATTCCCTAAAATGAGGCCCCTACTCTTGCTATACTGCTTTATATTTCTAATCAAGTATGTAGTTCTGCTGCACATCACTGTGTTTGGTACTACCTGGTGTAAAACTTATAATTTAGACAGTAGGTGGGGCTTGGTTGTCAAAGAGCAATGCTACACTAGAAGAAGAGCTCTGTCTGTGGAATACATCGCCATGAGATGTGTCGTTCTTCCCATGTTGAAACCTGTTGCTTCACAGTATTTTAATCCACTCTTTCGTGTTATTAAAGTTCTGCTTTTATCGTATCCAGTCTTCTGGTTTTTTTTTCTTTCCTTCCTACCTTCTTTTGAAACTTCTTCTGGGTGGAATTCATCACTGTGTAGATCACCACTACCAGACAGAGACATGATATGAATACTGGGACCACTAATCAGAGGAGAAGAATGTATGTTTAGAGCTCAAGATCAAGAGAACATTTAATTTTGCAGCTGAAATGCATATTGATTCCACACTGACTCATCATAATACTTGGCTTTCTGCATCTCTGCCAAGAAATTATTCTCAAGTGTTTTGTGATCTAACAGAATAGCAGGGTATCCAATCCAGCATATAATGACATTTGTTTTAAGGAATTCAGTTGTGATTCACACTCTCAATAACTCTGACCTGGAGCTGCAGGGTGCAAAGAAAGATTTACATTCTTTTACCATCGAATCACTGCTTGACTGCTTGGATTTGTGAAGTAAACCACGAACGGCAGCAGAAGTCTCAAAGGAGGTGTACACACAGCTTTTTGTGACAGAGAGCAAAACTAACGAATCCATTTACTTGCTATTTACTGCAGCAGTACAGTATATTTTAAGGTTCCTCATAAAAGTCTGGCTGTTTTCACTGTCCTGTCTGCAGGCTTACAGAATATATAAATATAGGACACCTGTAGGCATTAAAACTTTTAATCCTTGCAAGTAAATTTTTCTTGTTCAAAGTAAGGACCTGAAATTTCAACCAGAATTGCAACGGCCACCGAAGCTGCTAAAACAATAGATTTTGGGAAAAACTTGAAGAGATTTTCATGTTGGGAAGGTTTGAGGCATTCAGGTAATTCCAGTTATACAAACTCTGTCGCAGCTGGTTAAATAGTCCCCAATAGTTATATTGTTCCCAGCAGTTAAACTGCTTATGGTTTATGTACCAGTCTAGTCTCATCCTGGCATGGGATGAAAAACCTTCCTCAAAGCTTCTTTCATCTCAAAGACCTGTGGATCATTTGAATGCCTTGTGCTATTACACTCAAGCCTCTGAAGTCAACATAAAGATGATACAAATTTCAATTCACGTAAGTAATTTGTCAGCTCTTTGGCAATTTGGTAGTTCACCAGCCTGTCTTGGGTGCACTCTGTCGTTACACAAAGGGTTTTAATTGAGTGTGTGGTGTGAAACTCCATTACTGATCCATAAGTGAGAGCTGTTACGTCCTGGTTCACCAGCCTTAACAATCCCAAAAAGCAAGATCCGAAGGCTCTCAACCTTTTGGGTGAACTCTAGGTGCTAATTAGACTAAACTGGCAGAATATCAATGAATACATTTCCAGACTGTTAATGAGTCTGTTTCTAAAATATTATATACCCTCCAAGAAAAATTATTCATGTCCCTAGAGTGAAGAATGAGGAAAAGTTAGCATTCCTTAGCTCTCTCGTTTTACAGACAAAAGTGAAATTAATTTTCCACGTGACTGCTTTCACCTACTATAAGGAAATGACTTTTTTAAAATATATGAAAAGATGACAGGTTATATGTTGGATAGGAGAGATTTTGAGGAAAGGGAAGAAAAAGACTTCTTTTATAGAAAAGGAAAGGAGAGTTTTCTTGCAGAGAATCATTAAAATATGTAGAGTTATAGGATTTTACAGAAGATGAAGGTTTGGCTTTATTTTTTTTAAATTAATTATGAAGATTTTTAATAAAATAATTAAAGTTTCTGAAGGTGTTTCCCTTGAATTAGTTTTTTGAAGTCCTTTGAGTGATCTTGACTCACATACTTTGAAATTAGGTTATTAGCCAGGTGATGCAAGTGCTGAGATCTTGTCATGTACTTTGAGCATTAGGTAGCATGAAACTTTGCATATTTGAGCCATTAGTGAAAAGCTGTTCTGAACTTTGAAGTCCTTTGTTCTTCTGAAGACCAAGATGCTCTTCATTTAGAGTTAATTCATGGTGGTGTTAAGAGGAGAGACCTGATCCCTGATTTCTGCGTGCTTTCCATCTGTGTATTTCCAGCAGGTTGGAGTACTGCCAGGACAGACCACTGCAGGCTGCAGAGGTGAAAGGAATCAGGTAACGATTAACGTGGTGGAGAACTGCTGGGTGTAACTTCTATCTACGACATAGTTTGGCTCTGGCAGAGCAATGCCTCTAAGAACCAATACTTGAAAGCAATCTTTGACATGCACATTCATACTTAATTCGATGTGACAATTGCTGTGCATCCCCATGGCTTACTGGGATTTCAGGTAGGGGTAATGGTGATTTCTCAGATGAGAGACTGCGCAGAAATCATATCGAGAATTAGAGGCCGTTAATAAATGTCGCAAAGTATTAAGATCAAATAATCAAGCTCTTTCATTAAAATTGTAATTGTCTGGCTTTGGTATGGAAAATGAAGTTAAAAGTTATGATTGAGTAAAGAAGTGCAGACTTGTACATGTTTGTGTTAGCTGTATTTGTACGAACTGGGAAAACTGGGGATTAACCCAAGCAGTTTTAGAATGTGTTTTATTGTCTCTGGTCAGCGATTCTCACCGGTCTTAATTTTCTTTCACCTTTGCAATACTTGTGGAAATTTGGTGCTCTTCTCAGCTGCGTGTTTGTGTGGGATTGAAATAGTGCAGAAGTGCAAAATTTGGCAATACCTATTATAGATCTTGTCTTGTGGTAAAGCTGATTCCTTGAAATGGAAATGCTGTGAATCGAGACCAGGTCCCCACCTCAGAGCTAAATGGTCATTCACCTAAAGGAGTGAAGTCTTGAATAGGGACTATGCGTCATGTACTCTCCCTGGAGCAGTGTCTTGGTGTCTAAAATGACACATAAACTGTACCTTGGCCTCAGGAGGCAACGTAATTACTGCTGTAATTCAAACGAGTCACCACAGTCTTCCAAGCAATTAAGTGGCTGCACACTGGTGAAGATGAAAGCTTTGTCTATACTGGAATATGAATGTAATAAGGGGAGGGGAAAAAATAGAGTGATACTAAATGAGATTTTGAAAGAAGGAAAAAAAAAAAAAGAGGTTGACCAATTTGGTGGATTTTGCATGCAAAAGTATGGATCATTAAATAATTTCATGCATAATATATGTCTCTGGTCTGCAGGCAGTTTGGAACACGGTATAAAAGCCTATACAACACAGGATTTTTCCATCCACTTCCCTTGCCTTACTCGTCCAGGTGAACAGGTAAGTCTGAATTTATCCAGTGTCTTTTTAAATGCTAAACTGTTACTTTGATGACTGATTTTTTTTTGTTGTTATTGTTATTCTTAGTTCTTTATAAATATTGCTACCTTTTTTGCTTTTGGGAAGGAAAATAAGAAAGGCTCACTTCTATCAAAAAGAGAGGCTTTGTTTGTGAAGCAGGGTGTAATGAGACAGGACTTAGAGGATGCTGACAGTATTGTCTCCCCAAACAAGCAGCTTCACGTTCTCTTTTAGAGTCCGATGCTAAGGGAGAAGTTAGCCTGGTTGGAAAGACAGTTTTATTTTCAGAAACTGAGACTAGCAAAAATAAAATAAAATAAAACAATTGTGCTGAATTCCAGAATCTATCCCCAAGACCTGATTTCCACAGGCAGAAGAGGAGGGATCCCATCAGACTCAAATACAATGAATTCAAATCAAGGCAGAAGCCTCTGGTTGGGAAGATAATCCTTCTTCACCCTCCATGTTTGCCTGTTCTGGTCATACAACGTTTGGGAGCTAAGGAGACTTCTCAGATGCTTTTCTATAGTTCTGCAAATGCTGCTGGCTGGGCTATTAGCAATTAAGTTGTAGCATTAAGGCACTAAACCCAGATCTGTGTCAATGTTCAGTTCAGGGCCACTTTCCATGTGTGATGGGAGCTCCAACTGCTTTTTTCCACCTCCTGGTACAGTCAGAATTGCACCTTCTCCACAGAGACGGTGTAAAGGGAAACTGCTAAAGAGTGGGAAATGCCTTTGCTGGAAAGGATTAGGGACAACTTTACCATGAGCAGCACCACAGTTCAGAGGGCAGCTGCAGAGCAGAGACATCCTTCAGCAGCCTCATAAAAATAAGAGAAATTTCTATGTTATTTTCAGACTGTCTACTGTGGATTTTGATGTAATAAGTGATTACCTCTCTAACCACCTTCTCTAGGTACTTTCACACACGTTACCCTCCTACCAGACTTTTATAAACTTAATACACCTTTTATATCACATTTACTTTCTTGCCTGTCTTTCAGACTTCCCTCTGTCCTACAGACATGTCTTCCTATGACCTGTGTTCTCCCAGCCCCTGTGGGCCAACCCCACTGGCCAACAGCTGCAACGAGCCCTGTGTCAGGCAGTGCCAGAACTCGACGTACGTGATCCAGCCCCCTGCTGTGGTGGTCACCCTGCCCGGACCCATCCTCAGCTCCTTCCCCCAGAACACCGCTGTAGGATCCAGCACCTCTGCTGCTGTTGGCAGCATCCTGAGTGAGGAGGGAGTGCCCATCAACTCCGGGGGCTTCAGCCTCTCTGGCCTTGGTGGCCGCTACTTT